TAAACTATACTTTTCTCTGTTTTGTTTAATAACTTCTATCCAACTAACACTTATTGGAGTTGGTAATACCCCAAGCCATACTCTCCATGCAATAGTCCTAAGATATAACCCACTTAACCCATTAAAAATAGCAGTTTTTTTAAGTGAAATTAATTCTTTATCACACAAGTATGTGTCTTTAAAAATACTAAGAGAAATATTAAGTCCGATAGGATTACCTAATTGTTCCATTGAAAAGAAAAAATTAATATTTCATAGTTCTTTAAAAAATTATTTACTTTTTTAAAAAATTAACAGAAAAATAACAAAAAGAAAAATATGGTCTCTTAAAAGTGTTTTTGTATGAGAGATCGCTTAGAACAAATCACCAAATCCTCCAAAATCTTCTTCTTCCTCTTCTTCTTTAGCAGCTGGGGCTTCTTCTTTCTTTTCTTCAGTTTTAGTTTCAGTAGCAACAGCAGTAGCAGCAACGGCAGTCATGTTGTTGAAGATCTTTTCAGCCAATGGGAATACAACACCACTCTCTTTTGAGAATCCAAGGAGAGCTTGGAATGCATTGAGCATAATGTGTGGGCAGGCTGCTTCGGTTGGGAGATTAGCGGCAAGTGAAATAGCAGTAGCAGCTTGAACACCTTCTTGGAATTTCTTGACAATGTCAGATTCAGTTAAGTCAAGAGCCTTAGCATCATAAACAATACCATTATCATAAACTACATCAATGACAGCTCCATATTTGAATGGATTAATCTTTAATTTTTGAAGAAGAACTGCTTGTGATACTCCAACTTTTTCTCCTTCTTTAATTAGAAGAGTTTCTGAAGTAATTTCAATTTGACCTTTAGTAATCTTTGATGCAATATTCAATGCTTGGACAAAGTTAGTTTGAGTTGGGTCAAGTCCTGTATCACCAGCTGGTACAATGACATCATTTGGTGCAATAACTCCAGCTTTAGCTGGTGATGGTGCTTTAAGTTCAGTAAGTTTAGCCTTTAATTGGTAAAGATCACCTTTAGTAAAAATGAATCCAACATTACCTTTAATGTGTGGAAGAAGTTCTTCGAGTTCTGGTTGAGTTTCTGCTTGGTTCTTGATAGCTTTTCTAATAAGAGTATTCTTTCCCATAACAAATTCACAAGTTCCTCTTAATTCTTTTCTGATAGTTTGGAATTGAGATGATCCGACATTATCACATTTAACAACAACAACTTGTTTGTATTCTTCCAAGAGTTTTTTCATTTTGGCAAGATATGCTTCTTTCTTAGCTTTCTTTTGTTCTTTACTTAAACCAGCTTTGTGTAAGGCCATCCTTAGCTATCTCAATTTCTTAGATTATAGGGTTGTTTTATTTGGTTCCTTTTTTATTTTTTTTCTTGTTTTTTTACTAATAAATATAGTTTATTATACTTCA